CTCAGTTTCCCCCAGCGTGTCCTCATCGAGAACTACGGTGGACACCACAGAGGAGCCCCAGTCTACATGAATGTCGATCGCGTTATTCCCATCTTGTCCTGCAGGGGAAGGCAGAGAGCAACAGGGCGCCGCTTATTAACCCCGTTCCCTCTCGAGGCCTCAGTTTCCCCTTGTGCTCTACACACCAGCACAGCGTTTAGCTCGTGCGCTGAAGGCCAACCTGGGCTACAGAGTGAGACCCCCGTCTCCAAGAATTAAATGAATATACCTATTGATTTGTTGGACTTGGCTTCGGGTTTTGAGACATGTAATTCAGGCTGGCCAACCCCAAGATGACCTTTGAACTCCCGATCCCGCTGTCTCCACCCCACAAGTGCCCGGATGACGGGGTGGGGGTGGGGGACACTCGTGCACAGTGGGCTTAAGATCGGGTGGAGAAGCGCATGCTGCAGCCCTCGCGGGAAAGGCGAGGACCCCCCAAGTTTTCCTCTGACCGCCACCCCCGCGTGGCGCACAGGAGAATTAATGACACCGGCGCACGACTTTAACCCCAGGAATATCTGCCTGTGCGAGCCGCAGGCGCCGCCTCCCACCGGCGACCGGCGTGCGAACCCTGCGGGGACACCGGGCACTTCCGGTTCCTGCGCAGGCGAACCAGCCCCGAGGCCCGGCCCCGCCCCGCACGCGCCTTGGCGTCATTGGTGCGCTCTGAGCACGCGCACTCCCCTCGGCAGGCTCTGGCGGACACGCGCGACCCGGAAGACTTTCGTGCCGCACCACAGAGTCGGCGTGAGGGGCGTCGATGGCGGAGGATGCGGAGGCAGCAGCCGAGAGCGGTGGCGGCGGCGGCGACCCCGGGGTCGGCGCGTGCGAACCGGGTGTAGCGCCCATTAAGGCTCAGTGAGTTGCTGGCGCCAGATGGCGAAGCCGACGGGGCCTTCCCGGCGTCCGTGGCGCGACGCGAGCGGTGCATGCCGGGAGGTGTGGCGGCGTCCCAGAGCGGGGCAGACCGGTAGCGCCACTGTCTCTGCAGAGACGAACGCGTTGTCGGCTGTCACACGCGTTGGATACAGCTGTGCGCATGCGCAGCCTTGGGGGGGGGAACCAGACGCGACCACCGCGGTGCATGCTAGGGCTTGTAGTTTCCCTGGCTCGCGCTGCATTAAGGCTTGTAAGCGGGCCGAAAGGCTTCGTGGCCGCTTGGTTCTACCTGCCAAGCATGCAGGGACTTGTAGTCTCTCTGAAGTCTAACGTGATTGTTGGTATTTATGGATCGCAACCTGTAACAGTGCAATTCTCTGGGCAGGGACACGAATGGGTCCTTCAAATGCAAAATAGGTGTCCCTCTGTCATTGGGGTGCCACAGGGTAAGAGCTGGTTCTAATAGGCGAGCCTCCTATCTGCAGGAGCATGTGAGCCAGGACATTGGTTCTAAGACTCCTTTCCCTATGCCAATGGATGGAGCCTCTCCCTCTCTGGCAGGTACCGCACCACCAAGGAACGGTTCCACCAATACCTGGATGCAGACAAACGGGAGGATGCAGGCCAGGAAACGCCTGCAGGAGACCCTGATGGTAGTGACCCGGCAGAGCCCGAAGCCAAGAGGATCCGCCTGGAAGATGGGCAGGAGAATGGGAAGACAGAGGTGGCAGCTGAGTCCCCCGAGCAACAACAGGTGCCCAAGAGGGCCCGTGGCCAGAACAAAAGCCGGCCTCATGTGAAACCATCGCAGTATGACAAGGAGAGGCTCTGCCCTTCCCTCCTCCAGGTGAGAGCAGCTCTGGGAGGGCTTCATGGGCCTGTCACCTGCCCGGCTGGGACTTGTACATGGCCCTTGGCCTAGCAGTACCTTGGCTTCTCCTCTGCCCTCAGCCAGCCCGTTGCCGCTGCCCGGCGTCTGCAGGCCACACTGGCATTTTTGTGTCTTTTGAGACATGGTTTCTCTGTGTGGCCTGTTGCTGGACCGTCTGTGGTCCCACTGCCACATTGCCCCAAATAAGCACACAGAGACATGTATTAATTATAAATCTGTTGGCTGATGTCTAGGGCTTCTTATTAGCTAGCTCTGTCTTAATTATTAACCCGTTTCTATAAATATGTATTTCCACGTGGTTTTGGCTTACCAGAGAACACCTGGTGCATCCTATCCTCCTGGTCCCTCAATGGTGTCTCTTTCTGGTCTCCCTCTGCCTACCTTGCCCAGAATTCTCCTCTTCCTAATCCCGTCTGTCTTCCTGCCCCTATTGGCCAAACAGTGTTTTATTCATCAACCAATAAAAGAAACATATATACAGAAGTACATCCCCCATCGGTGGCCCATGCCAGTCTGATAAATCTGTTCCTGCTGTGCCAGGATGCTGTGCCCATGGGACTTATTTTTACTTACCTGACTCTAAGAGAGTGTTGGATGCCCTGGAACTAGAGTTATAGGCTGTTGTGAGCCACCACTGTGTGCTGGGAATCAAACCCAGTCATGTGCAAGAGCAGCCATGCTCTTGACCTCCTGTGAGCCTGAAAGTATTCCGGTTTTAGAGCTCGTGACTCTGGCACCCTGATGTTGCTGATAGTCCCAGGGATAGGTGGCTGGGAGAATAATCCCTTGCAACTGCCCTGGCCACTCCTTCCTCTCCCAGCCCCTCCCTCATGTTCCCCACAGGAGTCAGCCACGTGTGCATTTGGTGACCGGTGCCGATTCCTTCATGATGTGGGGCGCTACCTGGAGACAAAACCAGCAGACCTGGGCCCCCGCTGTGTGCTGTTTGACACCTTCGGCCGATGTCCTTACAGCGTGACCTGTCGCTTTGCGGGGGCACACCTGGGGCCTGAGGGTCAGAACCTGGTGCAGGAAGAGGTGGTAGCTCGCTGTGTGCACCTCCCTCTAGTGCGCAATGGCCTGAACAGGGCCCTGCAGCAGCAGCTGCGTAAGCGCCAAGTGTGCTTTGAACGAGCTGAGCAGGCCCTGCGCCGCCTGACCCAGGGCCCCATGCCCGTTGTTGTCCCTGAGGCCACTGTAGCCACGGTTACCCCAGACCAGAACAGCTGCCATGCCCAGTTGGACACTGCGGGAGGGGCCAGCACCCCGAGTGGCAGCCCTATTTCCACCTGTGGCCCCTTGACGGACGAGGACATTATTCGGCTACGGCCCTGTGAGAAGAAGCGGGTAAGGGTACTGTAAGCATGGGACACAAATGGAAAGGGAGCCAAGGAATACCACAGGTCACAGTAAGCATAGCAACTTCCGGCCCTGCTCCAGGGAAAGGCTTCACCAGTGTTAACAGCTCTGCTCTGGCAGGAGAGGGCTTCCCCAGTGAAGTTTTACAGTTCTGCTCTGTCCCTGGAGTATAGTGTAACATCTCCTCTTTACTAGGGGAAGGTTTCCCCGGTGAGAGCGTTACAGCCCTGCTCCACTCCACTCAGGCTCTATCTCTGCTTTAGTGAAGGAAGGTCTTACCCAAACCTCATTCAAGAGATTTATTGGGAGGGAATAATCCAGGAAGATGGTTGCCATTTGCCAGGGTTGAAAAGGCAGCAACAAACTGAACAGGCACAGGGATTATATAGGGCTTCTTCGGGTAGAGTTTTTCCAGGGAGAAGATTTCCAGGGTGGGATTGGTCAGATTTCAGTCCCTTGAGCTCAGATTGGGTAGATCTCATGCTCAGGGATTGGTTCTTTTTCTGCTCAGGGATTGGTTCTGATTTCCTGGTCAAAGTGCTTTTTGTTTGTTTGTTTCTCCGGTTTTTTGAGACAGGGTTTCTCTGTGGCTTTAGAAGCTGTCCTGGATCTAGCTCTTGTAGACCAGGCTGGTCTCGAGCTCACAAATATCGGCCTGCCTCTGCCTCCCGAATGTTGGGATTAAAGGCGTGTGCCACTACCACCTGGCCAAAGTGTGTTTTTTTTCACTGGTCCTTTTTATCCTGTTGGCTCTAATTTCAGGGCCAGGATGGATTTCTTTCACTGGCTCTGGTTTCAGGGCCAACTTCAGTTTCTTTGGCTGGCCCTTTTACCCTACAGGTACAGGCATAGCATCTGGGCTCCAACATTGTCCACAATCCTGCCTCACCAGAAAGAGCCTGGAGGATCAGGGCTAGGGGCTAAGGGGGCAACATGGAAGACTCCTGAAGGGAAGGGCATTGAGACTAGGGTTTTAGTGGTTGACTAGAAGCTCTCCAGTATAGAAGCCTGGGTGCTGATGAACTTTTCTCCTAAGAGGAATGGATGTGGTGTGTACAGAGCAAGCAATAGAAGGAGGCCACTGGGCGTGTGGGAGGGAGAGCATGCGTTAGAGCGGGGAAGGAGGCCTAACTTCACCTGATGTTTCCTTCCCTCCCAGCTGGACATCAGTGGAAAGCTATACCTTGCTCCGCTCACCACGGTAGGAGGTGCCTGGGGTGGGTGGCTCAGTAGTTCCTGGGGCATTGCTGGTGTCTGGTGTCCCTGCTTTGCTGACCTCTGAGGCCTGAACATGTCCTTGTCCTAGCCAGTGCGGGAACCTACCCTTTCGCCGCATCTGCAAGCGCTTCGGTGCGGATGTGACGTGCGGTGAGATGGCCGTGTGCACGAACCTGCTGCAGGGACAGATGTCTGAGTGGGCCTTGCTCAAGCGCCACCCCTGCGAGGACATCTTTGGGGTGCAAGTTAGTGTTTGCCCTGAGGGAGTTTGGAAGGGGCAGCCATGTTGGGGAGCAATACCCAGGATCTGTGGCCTTGTCCCCCTGACCTGGTGTCCGTGGGATGACCCTGGTGGGCTGGTCACTGACTACACACTGCCTGGTGCAGCTAGAGGGCGCCTTCCCTGACACCATGACCAAATGCGCTGAGCTCCTGAACCGCACCATCGACGTGGACTTTGTGGACATTAATGTGGGCTGCCCCATCGACCTTGTCTACAAGAAGGTGACAGCCACTCAGCTCTGGAGCTTGGGAGGGTGTGGCCCAAGCCTGGGACCCTGCCCTGCTGTCTCCATCTGGACATGGAGAACACTGAGCTGGGTGGCAGGCAATTCAGTTGTATGTGGGCACCCATAGGGAGAGTGTACGTTTCTTGGGAGGGTCACCAGGCTGTCCGTGTCCCACAGGGTGGCGGCTGCGCACTCATGAATCGCTCAGCCAAGTTCCAGCAGATTGTAAGGGGCGTGAATGAGGTAACCTGGGCTCATCAGGGACATGTCCCTCCTCGTTCCCACATAGTTCACCATGCAGCCTCCAGGCTTGCTGTCTGCTCCCTCTCTGCCCTTGTACCCACAGGTGCTGGATGTGCCATTGACTGTGAAGATGCGCACGGGTGTTCAGGAGCGTGTGAGCCTGGCACACCGCCTGCTGCCTGAGCTGCGGGACTGGGGTGTCGCACTGGTCACAGTGGGTGTCAGGGGCAGTGTGGTCCCATCTTGGGGTCACTGTGGTTTTCCTGGTCTCTTGTTTTCTGTCTCTTTGGTTCCTTGCTGTCTCCCTTGCCCCCTCTCACCCTTAACCCCTCCACCTTCCTTCATCACTGCACCCCCCTCCCCTCAGCTCCATGGCCGTTCCCGGGAACAGCGCTACACCAGGCTGGCTGACTGGCCCTACATCGAGCAGTGCGCCAAGGTAGCCAGCCCCATGCCCCTGTTCGGTAGGTGCCCAGAGCCACCGGGGCCACTCACCCTGCTGGAAAGACAGGGAGGATGCTGGGTCCCTGGGAAATCCCAAGACCGATGACTTCCCCAACACTGTCAAGACGCCACTCTGTCTCCTCAGGAAACGGGGACATCCTTTCGTTTGAGGATGCCAACTGTGCCATGCAGACAGGTGTCGCAGGGGTCATGATCGCCCGGTGAGTGGCATCTGGGCTGGGACAGGGATGCTAGAGGTTTCTACACATGGGGCCTCTGGGTGGGCAAGGCCCGGTGCTAAGGTGACTGGCAGGAAGCACTGTACCCACTGACTGTCTCCCTCCACAGTGGTGCCTTGCTCAAGCCCTGGCTGTTCACAGAGATCAAGGAACAGAGACACTGGGACATCTCGTCCTCTGAGCGCCTGGACATCCTGAGGGATTTCACACACTACGGCCTGGAACACTGGGGCTCTGACACGCAGGGTGTGGAGCGGACCCGGCGCTTCCTTCTCGAGTGGCTCTCCTTTCTTTGCAGGTGAGCGTCAGACAAGGAGAGTGCTGGAGCCTCGGATTGTAGCCTCAGGCCTCACCCAGTCTTATTGCCTCCCCTGTCCTCCTGCAGGTATGTGCCCGTGGGCCTGCTTGAGCGACTCCCACAGAGGATCAATGAAAGACCACCCTACTACCTAGGCCGAGACCACCTGGAGACGCTCATGGCCAGCCAGCAGGCCGCAGACTGGATTCGCATCAGGTACCCACTGGCCTGGGTCCTGTGGGGTGATGCTGGGAGGCCCAGGCCTGACTTGTCACCCTGTCCCCACAGTGAGATGCTGCTTGGACCAGTCCCACCCGGCTTTGCCTTCCTGCCCAAGCACAAAGCCAATGCCTACAAGTAGACAACGGAGACAATAAATTTTATTCTTCTACAACTTTTTTTTTGTTGGGTTTTTGAGACAAGGCTCCATGTTTCCTGGGATTTACTTTGAACTCCTGGAACCCTAGGCACGTACCTACCATCATATTCAGTTTTCTTTTATGTGCCATCCTTTCCTCTTCATCCAGGGTGTGGCCTTTGCTGGTGCCTGGTTCCTGTCTGCCCTGTTTTCGACTCCCAGCTATCCATTTTGCTGGCCAGCACCCTTGTGGCTGTGAATCTGGGCAACCTGGCCCAGGGTGTATCTACCCAGGCAGTGAAGGGAGTCACCTCCTGCCCACCCCCACCCCGGAATCCGAGGGGTGGGCCCATCCTGGACTGGAACCCTCCACCTAGCAACAGGGCAAACAACCCAGGGGACTGTGTCCCCGAGGTGCCTCTGCTGCCACCCAGGCCCCCCCCCCAGGGTGGCCTGTCTGCCCCATGCAGCACCCCAAAACCCTCTACCCCCCAGCCATACCCCAGGAAGGCTTCGGCCCACGGGGCCTGGAGGGCACTGAGGTGCCAGGTGGCCCAGAACCACTTCCCACCGTAGGTACGATGGTGGTAGCAGGCAGGGGTGTGTGATGGCCACGGGGCCTGGGCTCCTGCCCCACCCACCAGACGCCTTTATCCACAGCCAGCGCCAGCCTGCTCTATCAGACTCCCGGCTCGGACCACGATGTGCTATCAGCGCCTCCAGCAGGTACTGGCCAGCACCCTGAGCATGCTGAGAGCAGGCTCCGTCCTGACCCGAGATGAGACCCTGGGTCGCCTCTGTACCCCAGACAGATCCCCCCCATACTAACTCATGTGCCACAGTTTGAAGTGACAACTAGAGACCAGGCCGAAGCTTGCTTCGGTGACAACAGCTGCCACTAGGTAAGGGTTTTCACAAGGCCAAGCCACTCACAAGCTCAGTCACTGCTCCCCTGAGAATAGGAGTTTCCCCAACAGTCTCCGAGTGTCTTACCCGCCATGAATCCCCAGATGACTGCTAAACAAAGCCAGTACACACAGGCACCTTTGAGGTGAGGGCTGTGTCCTATGTGCCTGGGTCTTGGTCTGTCCCTCCCATCCCATGGTCTGGTTCCCCCATGGACACCCCTCTCAGAGTGTCTGCCACCTGCAGGCTTCCAGATGGCTCCCTGCGGCTGCTTCTTTGACCCCCGCATCTACCGAATCGAGTGGGCCACCTCCGACTTCGGCCAGTCGTCCCTATACAAGGTGGCAGTGGCCGGGGGTCCCACCTTGTCCAGTGGCTACCTGCTGTAGGCCCCATCCTACCTCAAGGCCCCGGGGCCTCCACCTCCGCTGTACCCCCACTACCAGCCAGCTCCCGGTGGGCCACAGTACCTTACACACTACCTTCCACCTGAGGAGTCTGGGCCCGAGGCAGTGGGCTTTGTGGGGGATGGAGGGTCCCTCAACTTTATGGAGATGCTCAGAGATGGCCTGGCACCCCCACCAACCCCCAAAGAGACTAAGCCATCTCCCTTGCTCATCACAGTCCCTACGGCACACTCGCTGCCACCTGGACCCTATGGCCATCTCAGTGGCCATGCTAGCCAGTTCCCAGGGCCCCAGGTGACCATGAGGCCCATCGAAGCCCCCAGGGAGCTGCAGGGCAGTGCCGTGGCCAGGCTGGGTCTGCGGTTCCCTCCTGGGCCTGCGGAGCCCAAGGTGGCCGAGGTGGAGGACATCACCCCCATGGGCTCAGGTGAGACCGTGCCTCCTGAGGTGGCCCGCGCTTTCTTCTTACCGGACAAGGTCCTTCTAGAAGATGCCATGAAACTTTTCGATTGTCTCCCTGGTGGCGCTGAACCTGAGGTGGCCCTGCACAGGGGTACCGGGCCCAGCCCGAGAGACAGTGGTGGTGGTGGGGATGACTGCACAGCCGACATCCGCTCCCTGCACCTGCCAGATGAGCTGCTGTCCTTCGACTATGGCGTCCCTGAGGTCCTGGATGCTGTGGCCAGTGTGGATTACGTTTTCAGCTTCAAGGCCCTGGATGATGAGCCGCTGCCCCATGTGGGGGTCCCTGTCACTGACATGGTGGCCCCTGGCCTACGGTCCCATCAGTCAGGAAAGAAGACCACCACATCCACCAAGAAAGGGAAACCAGGTGGCAGACAACGGCAGACCACAGGCCCCGCTGGCACCACAACCACAGGACCCAGGCCGGACCCGGGAACTGCCCTCAATTAAAGTGATTTGATCTCTGCTATGTGTTGCTGTGACCTGGTGAGGCCAGAGGGGACCCGGCAGTAGCTAGACGCCTTCAGAGTTGGGCCAGGAACCTCAGAATTAAGTGTCAGGTATCAGGCGTGCATCTGAACTGTTACCCTGTATTCGGGAGGCTGGGGCAGTCAGTCAGAACCACAAAGGATGCCCCGTCTAAAAGAAATGAGGACACAGGGGCTGGGCTGTAGCTCAGTAGAATACAGTGTTGGGTTTCAGTGCTTGGGGTTCAGTGGGTAGAGTGCTTGGGGCTCAGTTGCTACACACAAGACCCTGGACTCCATCCCCAGTGCCACATGAACTGTGTGTTTCATGAGTGTAACCCTGGTGCTGAGGAAATGAGAGGAACCAAAAGAATCAGAATTTCAAGGCTAGCCTGAGCTATATGAGACTGTATCAACAAGAAAATCAGTCACCTGGGGCTGGCCATGTTGGGAGGCCTCCTGAGAAGTGGGGTTTTCTTTTCCATCCAGACCTCACACTGAAATGGGTTCCCTTGTATGTTTGGTGGTCCAGAGAGGAGTGTACACAGTGTGGAGGGCAGGCCCTGGCCGGTGGCTCTCCCCGCCAGCTCTCAGTACCTCAACAGTCCCCACAAAGCCACAGTTTGTAGAAGGCAGGCAGGGAGGTCACCGCTGCTATTTGGGGGCTATGGTGGTATCTGGGAAGCTGAGCTCAGACTCAGCATGGTTGCTGGGGAGGGCATGACACAGATGGTTATTTGTGGGCCAGGTGTGGGCTTTGGGGGAGGGTGCTGTGTGTTGTGGGGAGGGAACAAGTCTTTCCCCCCAAAGCTGAGGGTGCCAGAAGGGGGTCTGTCTCTTGGGGAGCCCACAGTCAAGAGCAAGAGCAGGTGAGGCTAACAGGATCCCAAACCCGTGAAGGTGGAAGGAGAGAACCAGCTCCACAGAGTTGTTCTCTGACCATATAGTCATAATTTACCAGTCTGTCACCCAAGGCCACTGCTGCTTGTGGTCGTCATTCTCTCCCTCACCTACTCTGTAAATGTTTGTTAGCTGAGACAGGGTCTCAGTGTGTAGCCCTGGCTGGCCTGGAGCTCACAGGGATTTGTCTCCCTCAAGGCATGCGCTACCATGCTTCGCCTCCTTTTCTTTCCTTCCTTCCTTCCTTCTTTTTTTGTTTTTTGTTTTTTTCTGAGACAGGGTTTCTCTGTGTAGCTTTGGAGGCTGTCTTGGAACTAACTCTTGTAGACCAGACTGATCTTAAACTCACAGAGATCCACCTGCCTCTGCCTCCCAAGTGCCGGGATTAAAGGCGTGCGCCGCCGCCACCGCCGCTACCACCACCTGGCTCTTAGCTTGCTTTTCTTTCTTGGACAAGACTTTTGTAGCTCCAGGTGGCCACAAACCTATGTAGTTGAGAATGACCTTGAACTCCTAGTCTTTTGTCCTCTACCTGCAGAGTGCTGGGTTGACAGGTCCTGTGGGCAGAGCTCAGTGCCTCCTGTGTGTGGGCAGATGCTCTGCCCACTGAGCAGCCCATCTTAATTCCACTAACAGAGTCCTATGAGAGTTGGAGTTCCCTGCCTTGCTCGGTGCCCCCCTTCCCAGAGTTGCTGGGAAGAGACACCATCTATCTCCTGGCTTCCTTCCCTCCAGTGTGGCTAAGCAAGAGTTTGGGAGGTACAGCTTTAGGATTGTAGAGTAATGATGGAAGGGCTTGCATGTAAGTGCTGTGAATCATGGGTCGGGAGCACCGTGTAGCATGGAAGTGCTCCTCATCGGGCTGGGGCACATCCAGGAAGTTCCCCTGGAAGCAGTTCCAATTGAGATCAATGACAAAGGTCGCAGTGGGCAGAGCCTTTGACTGGCACGGATGAAGTCCTGGGTCAGCCCCCAGTACCACATAAATGGTATGGCAGCCCACATATGTCATCTCAGAACTAGGTGGAGGCAGGAGGCTCAGGAGTTCAAGGTCACCTGCTACTATATAGCCTTTAAGACCAGCACTCGGAGGCAGAGGCAGGCATGTATCTGTGAGTTCGAGACCAGCCTGGTCTACAAGAGCTATAGTTCCAGGACAGCCTCCAAAGCCTCAGAGAAACCATCTCAAAAAACAAGAACCAACCAAACAAACAAACAAAAAGACCCCACTCAGGAGGCAGAGACAGGCAGCTCTCTGTGAGTTTGAGGCCAGTCTGGGCTACATAGTTCCAGACTGGCTAGGTAGTTCAACCCTATCTTTGAAAGTAAAAAGCTGAAATTGGTTACATGTAGCACAGGAATGGAAACAGGACTGTGGGGTCTTGGCCATCGGCTTAGTTCCAGTGTCAGCAAGAGACTGTCCTCCAAGTTCCTCCTCTCGCTTTCACATCATGCACAGCCCTGGGCCGATCAGTGATCTAAAGTGTCCGGGCGCTTGCCCCAGAAAACAACCTGACCCAGTGTCTGAAGGGAAGAGCCATGGTGGAAGGTTAGGTCCCGAATGTCTGAAGGATGATGCCAAGCTCCTGCCTGTCCTGCGAGTGTCTGAATGGCAATGCTAAGATCCCACCTGTTGTCCCTGGGCCACCCCCACCCCTGCCACCACCCTGAGACTCTGTCTGCTCCTGCTAAGAGCAAGAAGCTGACAAGCCTGAGCACGGGGACGGCAGTTCTGGGAATGGGCGAAGTCACTAAAGGGTGGTAGGGTGGGGCCTGGAGCAGGACCCGGGGATGGAGACACATCAGCCCGAGATGGGAGAACCAGGAGGGAAGACAAGCTTCAGGGAGAGAATGTCTCCCTGGGTGGGAGACCTCCATTTTCTTTATTAAACAACAAAAAGATTTTCATTTCATGTCTGCTGGTGTCTTGCCTGGGTGTGCCTGTGCCCCATGTGAGCGCAGTGCCTGAGGAGGCTGCACAGGGCCTAACGCAGTTACAGATGCTCGTGGAGTGCCATGTGCATGCTGGGAATTGAATCCAAGTCCTCTGCTCTAAATACTGACCCATCTCCCCGGTCCCCAAATAAATCTTTTTGTTTTTGTTGTGTTTTTCAAGATGGTTTCTCTGTGTAGCCCTGGCTGTCCTGGAACTCACTGTGTAGACCAGGCTGGACTTGGACTCACAGAGATCTGCCTGCCTCTGCCCCCAGAATGCTAGGACTAAAGGCGTGCGCCACCACACATGACTCCAAATCTCTCTCTCTCTCTCCTTTTTGTTTTTTTGAGACAGGGTTTCTCTGTGTAGCTTTGGAGCCTATCCTGGAACTCACTCTGGAGACCAGGCTGGCCTTGAACTCACAGAGATCCGCCTGCCTCTGCCTCCGGAGTGCTGGGATTAAAGGCGTGAGCCACCAACGCCCAGCTTCTTCTTTTTTTTTTTTTTAAAGTTTTCCCCAAACCATGAAGGACCAATGTCCTTTGAGCTCTACATCATGTGGGACAAGGGAGTTGAAGCAGGTTAGGCCGCCACCACTAGACAGACTGCTGGAAGCATCACTGCATCAGGGAGCTTTTGTTGCAGAGCCCTGCAAGTTGGTACATGCCAACATGCACCACCTCCTGCCAAGGCTCGGGGAGACTTGGTAGTCTGGAGTATGCATGGGGAGGCAACAGGTTTCCAGGATGAAGAGCAGAAATAGAAAACAGGATCAGGGCCCCAGTGAGACCCAGGCCTGGGCCAGGTCCTGATCTAACTGCCCAGAGCAAGTGCCAAGGCAGCCGCAGCTTGAGGCATTACTTTGAATGGAGTGCTTGGGGGAGGAGCTGGGAGCATAGTGCCATGGGAACACTCATTTCCTGAGTATGATGGTCTGCATGAGATGCGCCCCCCCACACCCTCAGACATTCGAATCCTTGGTCCTTAGTTGGTGGTACTGTTTGCTTACAGAACCTTAGATGATGCTTGTTCCTGGGGTGGGCATGGGTGTGTAGCCTCCCACCACCTCCAGCTCTCAGCTTCCTGCTCTGGGTACCGGCTGTCTCACCTCACCTGCCATTACAGACTGTCCTTCAGGAGTAGCTGTGGTCCAATCATGGCTGTCTCTCAACAGGAAGGCCAAGACTCTGCTAGTTCTGTCCACCAGGCTAGGTGTCTTAGCTGCCCTTGTCTGTATTGAAAACTTGAGGAAACTGGCCCTCGAGTTTGAATTCCACCCCAGCTGTGTTTGAAGGCCACAGGGGCCTTCAAATACCAAGTGTGGTGGTTTGGATGAGAATGGCCCCCACAGGTTTGTATGTCTGAATGCTTGGTCCCCACCTGGGGGAGTTGTCTGGGAAGGATTAGGAGGTGTGACCTTGTTGGACGAGATGGGCTTGGAGGGTTCAAAAGCCCCATGCCAAACCAAGCCATGGGGGCACTCACCTTTAGTCCAACCACTCAGAAGGCACAGTCATGTGGATTTGTGTGAGGTCAGCCTAGTCTACACAACAAGTTCCAGAAGAGCCAGGGCTACACGGAGAAACCCTGTCTCAAACAAACAAAACCAGTCCACATAGGCCCATCTCTCAGCCTCCCTCTTATGGGTCACATGTAGCTCTCAGCTACTACTTCAGAGTCAAGCTTGTCTGCTCCCCACCATGATATGCATGGGCTCCCCCTATGAAACTGTAAGCAACGCCCAGTTAACACTTTTTTTTCCCCCCAAGAGGTTTTCCTCTGTGAAGCTTTTGGAGCCTATCCCAAAACTCGCCCTGTAGACCAGGCTGGCCTTGAACTCAGAGATCCACCTGCCTCTGCCTCCTGAGTGCTGGGATTAAAGGTTCAGGCCACCACTGCCCTGCTTATTGCTTTCATTTTTAAGTTGACTTTGTCATGGTGTCTCCTCACAGTGACAAAATGGTAATTAAGACACAGAAGACCTAGGCTTCTGTCCTATCCTTATCAAGGGACTTCCATATAGAGGCCCAAGGTGGCTGTTGGTGCTCCAGCCATCTTATCTTTATCCCAATGAGCCTGTACTTTTGGGGACATAGTATGGAAATGGCTTTCTGTATGAGGTCCCAGGACCCTCTCAGTCCGGCCCAGTGTCCCTGCCCCAGGACCTGATGGCCCATGGACTTCAGTGTGACCTCCTCTCTCTCTAGCCCCAGAGCACATTCCCATCTCATAAGTCTCCATTTTCCTGACTGGTCACTGGGGACCTGGAGTAAGGCCAGTTCCCACTGGGGAGGCTGGGAGCCGCTGTCATTTGGTGGTGTACAGTTGCTGACTTGGCTTGGTGGCTTCAGTGGGAGGGAACCCGGATGAGGATGGTCTGAGCCTCTTCCCCAGGAAGGACAGTCTGGATCTGGAGAGTTCTGGTGTGAAATGAACAATGGCTAAGAAAAACGGGCCAGCAAGAGGGCCTGTTTGGGAAATGGGAAAAGGTGCTTGCTGCCAGGTCTGAGGACCCGAGTTCAAGTCCTGAGATCCACTTGAGTAGGAGACACTGACTCCCAAAAATTGTCCTCGGGCTTTCACAGACACACACAAACTCACACACACTAAGTATAAAACAGGAAAAATCCAGCTGAGCACCCAGATTTCACCTTCTGCCCCTGCCACCACGCCTTCCCAGCACGCCTGGCTGCATTCACTGACCCACAACAAACTCTTCTGTCCTTTGGCTGCTTTTGTTTTGACACAGAAACCAGAAAAGGGATTAAGATGTCACCTTCTTTTGTCCCCATTGGGGGTCCCCTGGGGCTCCCTTCCTGGACTAGAGGGCCTGGGCTGGCTGAAGCCTGGTGTCTCAGATGTGTGGGCCTGGCCCCTGAGCAGTAGTTTTGGGATCATGTGTTTGTCCTTCTGGGATGTTCTGGGAGGAACAGGGGCGTCCTTCCCCAGTCCCCAGGGACCACGCCAGGATCCCATTCCCAGCTCCACCCTGACAAGATCTCCATGGACTTGGCTACTTGCGGATACACATTCACCCCAAGTTCCTAGGAGAGGCCGACATTTGCCCTCATCCCGGGATAGACAAAGCCCTTTGAGGTGCCTTTCCGGTGCCCAGAATGAGAGCATGTTTATTTTGTTGTGTCTGGAAGGGTCACCCCCTGCAAGTATGTGTCCTGCTGTCACCAGCTTGGGGCTGACCTTGCTAGGGACACAGAGGTGAGACCCAGTGGTCAAAGGACTCAGCATCTTCTGTCTGGGGAGTCAGCAAGTCAGTGCAGGAGGCTTGTTGTCCCAGAGTGAGGGCTTTTTTTTTGGGGGGGGGAGAATACATGACCTACTTGGGCTGGAGCATGGATGGTGATCCAACTACCCTACAAAGGACCCCACACAAACATCCCAGTGCGTATTGGTTTCCAACGGGGAGAGCCTGGTCAGTGTCCATGTCCCCTGGAAACCATCATTGAAAGCCATTCTGTCTGGATTTGTCTAAGTCTGAAGACTCTGTGTGACTAGTGCCGCATGAATGAACAAACAGAGACACTAGCAGTGTTTTGATGGACACATTCACAAGAACTTTCTAAGAACAATTACAGCACAAAACTACCAGGGGGAACATTTTTTTCCAAAAAGAGAAAAACTATTGTATTTCATGAGGCGCTTCCTAGGTTGTGGGGGGAGCTTGTGTTTGGGACATAATTCTCAACATGGCGACTGCAGTGAGGTGCAATGGCCATGTGCTGGGATGTCTAGAACTCAGGGTCCTCACGCCCTTGGTGTTCATTTGTCCGCAGAGATCTTGAGGTCTTGGGGTGAGAAGGGGTCAGTCACAGGAACAGAGCAGACAGCATGGCTTGTTTGGGGTGGTGTCTACAAGACTGTAGGGCCTAGACACTGTGGTGTAAACAGGTTGTGGGGTGCTGCCAGGAGGTGTGGACACAGTGCTGACCACTGAGGTCCCCCTGGATTAGCTCGGTGTGGACTGTGAACTGGACAGTTTGACCAGGAGATGTGAGTGGGCTGTACACGGAGCTTTGCTTTCTTTTTGGACTTGGACCTGTCTGGGACGAGGTGAGATGCCTTTAGCATCTGTGGTCCACCCAGGGTCAGGGCCTGCACCTGGAGGCCCTGCCCATCCACAAGAGGCCTTCAGGTACATAGAGACCAGAGCACAGGGTCAGCGCCCAGCGAGCAGTGCCATCCCTCCCACTCCTGGGGCTTGGTTTTCTTTGAAATGATGGTTTAAGTTGAGAGCAGCTGGGGCTCTTCTGAGGGCTGTGCCTCGTAACTCGCACACGCAGCAGGGAAGGGGGTCGGGACTGGGGACAGATGGGTCACTGTATCCCCTGGGGAACAGCCCAGGGCCGGGGGCACCTTAGTGGGGCGTGGGCAGCTTGAGTGACCCCACAGTTGTTCCCCATAGTCTCTGGCCCCCTGGGGTGGGGCACCTTGGGTCACAGTAAACATGGCATCATCTAAGAGGCACTAGTGTGATAGGCTGAGAGTCCAGGTCCCTGGGGGGCCAGGTGACGCCTTCCGGAAGCTGGTGGAAGGCGCCCAGGGAAGGGGCTAGATGCCCTGCAGTGGGTGGCTGGGGTCACTCCGTTCCCGTTTCACCAGGGGCTCGCCCAGGCTGCGGCCATCCACATCTGCCTCACTGCTGTGTCCATCCCCAATGTCCTCTGCAGGGGTGAGGGGACAGAGGGGACAGTAAGAACACAGTGGCCTCTGAAACTTTCAACCTACCCCCATGTCCTGCCTGGTCACCTGGGCAAATCAAGAGACTGGCCTTCTAACCCAGGCTCTCTTGTGGCCACCAGCCACTGGCCTGGGGTGCTGGCCAGACTGGTGTCAGCAATGAGCTCTTCTGGAACCTCATTAAGCCACTACAGGGCGTCACAGGAGCCCACACCCAGTTGCCAGGATTCCCACCATTTGCATGCCAGCTCCTGCCTGGAGTCCCTCAGCCCACCTGGGAGGCTACCACAGTGGCTCTGCTCATAGACACAGTGCAAGGGAGCCAGGACCCGGGAGCCAGGGCAACCCACCTTTGTCCAGCAGGGTCAGCGACAGCGAAGCTAGATCATTGAACTGGAAGAGAAGGGATGGGTCTGAGATTTCAGTCAAACCCCAGTGACATCACCAGGCCCTGAAGCTTCACTTCTTTGCCTTTTTAGGAAGTGTGTGTGTGTGTGTGTGCGCGCGCGCGCGCGCGCGCGCGCGCGCACACGTGTAATACCTACAAAGGCCTGAAGAGGGCATTGGATCCCCAGGAGATGGGAGTTACAGACAGGTGTGAGCTATATGTGGGTGCAGGGTATGGAAAGACAGTTGCTCTGTGAGACCTGAGCTCAGTGTGAGGTCATCTGGGTGGATCTGGGCCTCTGGGTCTCCCTGCCTGCCTCACCTCTCCCATGACAGCAATGGGCGTCTCTCCAGTGGCCTGGGCCACACGGTGCTCCACCAGGTAGAACATGTACTCATCATACAGCAGCCGGATGAGGTGGAAGGAGCCAAAGCTGGCGGCACTGCGCAGGGTCAGGTCACGGATCACCATGGAGCTGGGGACAGGGACAGAGAATGCTATGAGCCTGGATAGCAAGCAGTGTAAGGGCTGCCCGCTGGAGGCCTCCAGGGGCAGGGGACACACCCAGGGACAGAGGGGGGCGTGTGTGGGTATAAGGCAGCACACCCCAGTGCTTCACTGTCACCTTTTTGCTTTGTTTTTAGCTTTATTTTAAAAAATACATTTTATTTACTTATTTATTTTTGAGATAGTCTTCTACATAGTCCTAGAACTCGCTCTGTAGACCAGGCAGGCCTCAAACTCACAGAGATCCTCCTGTCTCTGTCTCCAGTGCTGGGATTAAAGGCGTGGGTCACATACACAGACATCTCCCCCACGTTTTTTAATGTGTTGCCTGCCTGTAAGTGCACTCTGAGGATGCAGTGCCCCAGGAGGCCACTGCCTGGAACTGGAGTTACAGGTGTGAGCTACCTACCATGTGAGTGCAGGAGCAGCCGAAGCTCTAACCACTGGGCCTCTTCCAGCTCCCTCTGCCTTCTTTTTGAGACAGGTTTGTCTACATGCGTGCTTGCTGGCCTTCCATCCCACCTCAGCACAGACACTGCAGGCTGTGTGCACTGTGGACTGTTGTGCATAGTTCTGGGGTTGGGTCGTGGGTCCTCACGCTTGTGGCTCCCCCTTGTCCACCGAGCCAGTGTTCTAGCCCAATTCTGTCTTTATTCTTTTCTTTCACACCCCTCCTCTTTTCCTCCTTTTTTTGGGGGGGGGGATCGAGGAGGGCAGTGTCTTATTCTGTGGCCCAGGCTCACGCTGAACTTAGACCCTCCTGTCTCGGCCTTGCACACAGCACCCTGGTCAGCTTGTGTTTTCCCCCATGATCCCTCCCCTCCTTCCCACATGAGCCTTCTGTGACCAAGTTTCCCATGGCAGGCAGCATGTGGCCGAGGGACACTCTGCAGCCATGACTGATGGGAGCAGTTTGATACTGTGTCTCAGCCAATCCTATGAAAAGCCTCACACAGAAACAGCCGTCTCCCCCCTTGGGCTGCATTTTAACTCCAGCCCGAGTTTCTGCCCTGCCCTGCCTGCCATGCTGGCTCATTTCATGTCAATGTGACACAAACTAGAGTCATCAGAGGGGAAGGGGCCTCAGCTGAGGAATGTCTCTGTGAGATCCAGCTGTGAGGCATTTTCTCATTTAGTGACTGATGGGAAGGCCTCAGTCCACTGTGGGTGGTGCCATCCCTGGGCTGCTGGTCCTAGGTGCTATAAGAAAGCAGGCTAAGCAAGCCATGGGGAGAAAGTCAGAAAGTAGCACCCTCCACGGCCTCTGCTTCAGCTCCTCCAGGTTCCTGCCCGGTGTGAGCTCCTGTCCTGACTTCCCTCAGTGATGGATATGTAAACCAAATAACCCGTTCCTCCCCAACTCTTTATGGTCATGGTGTTCTGTTGCAGCATTAGTGACCCTGACTAGGACACCACCTGTCCTTGGAGGTTTCTGATTTGAGGGCCCACAGTCTCATCTTTTACGTGTTTCCACAGGATTTTAATGTATTTGAGGCTAATTGTCACAGATATGCTGACCCTGGCAGGGTGTCTCTGTGGGGACAGTAGAGCTCAGGTTCCCGACTTTCTCCCTGCATCTTGGAGTGTACAAGGCCCCACAACCTGCTCACCGTCTAGAAATTTCAGGTGTTCTGTTTTCTGGATGTTCCCATAGGGGACTTGTGTCAGTGGCTCCCTTGGCTTGGTCTGAGGCTGTGGTGGGCTCCAGCCCTCCCCTCAGGACAGACAGCCCCATCTGCTCCAGGCTCAGGGGCCCAGCAGGTGTGTGGACGTCAGGGGTGGCTCTCCCCACGTGGGGTGACCCAGCTCACCTGTAGAATGACCACTTGAGCAAGAACTGGCGGGCGGCCTTGGGGAAGCTGGGGCTGCCTGCATGCTGCTTCAGCACCTGGGTGACCACGTTGTCCAGCCAGCTGGCCCACTGGTCCAGTGAGCTCTGCTGCTGCAGGGTCACCTTGAAGTCATGTTCCAGACGTTGTACCAGGCTCTCCTCGCACTGGCACACCCATGAGGCCTGCTCCTGTGAAGGGGTAGTGTGTGAGGACCTGGGGGATCTTCTGCTGTATTTATTTGAGGCAGGGTCTTATGTACCCAGGCTGGCCCTGCATTGTGTGTGTAGGTGAGGATGACTCTGGACTCCTGATCCTAGAAGTATTGATGTGTGGGGATGGAGCCCTGCATGCTAGGTGGAGGCTCTGCCCACTGAGCCCCTGCCCCACCTTTCCTTATTTATGAATACAAAGTCTCAAGAGGTAGCCCAGGTTGACCTAAAATGCCCACCTTGCCATCTCAGTCTCCTGAATGTCGTGATGATGGGCGTGTACCACTGAGCCTCACAAAGGGTCCCTTTCTCAGGGCACACCTAGGTGTGCTGAAAGGAAGGATGTCCTCAGCCATGCCATGGTTTGCATTTTTCTGGCAAGACAGAGCCAGGCACACAAGGTCCAGCAGCTGGGAGTGTTTGGAATGCAAACAGACCAGAGTGCTGCTCGATAAACTGGCTACAAAAGGGACCCGAGACACAGCAAATGGGTGGGTGGCCCATGAGCCAGCCTCAGGCTTCCCACTACAGATGTGCAGGCCAGGGAGGGATGAGCTGCCTTCTGGCCAGACTGGGTGGGGAGCACCCAGCTTGGAGCATATCAGGGCAGGCATATGTCACCACCAAGTCACCTGAACATTGGCAAAGTCCACGCGGTTGAGGTCACTCAGCATCTGGTTGATCTGTGACGTGTTTTGCAGCACAGCCCGTGCTGCTTGAGCCAGGTGGTTGAGGGACGTGTAGCGCCTCAGGGTCTGTGCAAAGGCGCTCACAACACCTACCTGTGAGGGACCCAGGTCACACAGTCAGCAGAGCCCCTGCATGGGGGCTGTGGGAGCAGGCAGCTGGACAGACACTCTTGCACACTTATGTGCACCCTGCACACCACCCCACTCTCTGCAGGCCTGTGGGGACTCGGGATGGCAGAGGGAGGAAGGGGAAGGGCAGAGGACCCTGTAGGTGCTTTTACCCACTGAGCCATCTCACCAGTCCCTGCACTGTATTTCTGAGACGGTCTCACTGAAGCTGGAGCTTGCTGATTAGGCTAGTGGCTGGACGGGAGATCCCCAGGGACCCCTGTCTCTGCCTTTTTAGTGCTGGTGATATAGGTACCATGCAGCACCATGCAGAACTTTTTATGTGGTGCCAGGGTCCAAATTCAAGTCCTCACATTTGTGTGGCAAACACATCATCTCTTGAACTGCCTCTCCTGTCTCAGGTGCCTAGCGGCCCTGTACACACATCCTGGCCTGCCAGGGCCTCACTTTTGCTTCCCACGGAGGCCACAGACTTACACTGAAGACTCTGATTTGTGGCCCAGAATACACCAACTGACTAGGGGAGGAGACGGAAGTTGCAGGTGATCTGCTCTATGGTGGCCCAAGAGCACAACCATCTATGGTCCTCTCCTTGCCAGCTCTTCCACCCCCCACAGCATCCTGGGAGGCCCATTCCCCAGACACCCAGGGGAGGAGGCTGGGGAGACTTAGGAGGCCTCATGTCACCCAAAAGGCCGAGGGGTCCCTGGACCCTTCCATGCTGGTACCTTGGTCTGGATGACCTGCTGAGGGAAGCCACTCATGGCATTGACGAGCCAGCCCTCTAAGCTCTTGGCGAAGTTCCTGATGGCCTGTGTCAGGGAACCTGGAGGCGTGAATCAGAGGCTCATGGTGAGTGGGATGACTGCACACACTCCATGGGGTCACGATGCCAGTACAGACAGGAGTCCCATGGAGAGACAAGTGGCAGCCTGTCTCAGGAAAGAGGTGCTGGGTAAGAGTGAAGACCAGACATTTATCCCCTGCTCTGAGGAGACACTGGATGCAGTCTGGGAGCACACATGACTGCCACAGTGATGGAGCTCCTGGCACGGAGAACAGGGACACTTGCCAGTACTGGCATTGCCTGGGCTGCCCTGCAATCAAGATGCTCACATCACCAGTACCGCAGCATCAGGGTCAGCCACGTGCACGCACACACATGCATATAAACACACACATGTACACATGCGCATGTACGCACGTATACACAAAGTATATTCTGTCAACATCCAAATTTATTTTACACTGACTTGCTAAGAAGAAAATTGGACTTTCTGTTTTTGTTTTTGAGAGAGGGTCTCTCTACGTGGCTGTCCTGAAACTTACTCTGTAGCCCAGGCTGGTCTTGAATGCAGAGATCCTCCTGTCTCTGCCTTCTAGGTGATGGGACAACAGGTGTGTGCCGTCATGCCTGGATAATCAGGCCGTTTATATTTTCATTTTTGTTTTTCTTTTGATTTTAACTTATTTTCACAGTTTTTAAAGAAAAATATGTTTCAACATCATTGTCTTCCTGAGATACAGAATGTCACCCTGGCCCGTCCCCCAGAGAGCAAGGCCACATGGGAAAGGCCACAGTTGTGCTGTGCTCCTTCTGACTTCTGGCAGGGAGCCCCCGGTGCAACCAGGAAGATCTAGCCTGGCCTCACACTAACAGCCCCACATACACACAGACTGCCTTCAGGAAAGGCATTCGAGGGAGAAGCCAGGCTTCCTGCCCACTCTGGGGTTGTGGGCACTGAGCCTGGAAGGGCCTGTGAGGGTCCAAGGTCGTCTGGGCTCATGGGTGATGCTCTCTCTAATGGGCAAGTCTTGGCCATTTGTCCTAGCAAACATCCCTGGTGCCCATGGTGGCCTGGCATGCCCTTGAAACTGAGGTAGCCACAATGGCTTTCCTAATAGGTGACTCTTGGATGCTCTTGCCTGCCCTCTAGGGAACCTTCTGGAAAGCCTGGCACCTGCTCAGGTCAGCTTAGTGCCCTGCTGCCTGGCAGAGCTCTCTGGGGTCAGGAATGGGGAGGAGTTGGAAGGAGAGGGGAACCACATGGCTGAGCCACTGCTCTGGGGGTATGGCTTTGAGATGGGGTCACTTACTGGGGACAGGCCGCAGCACATCTGGGATAAGGGTCTCCACCAGCGCCTGATACAGGATATGGTCACAGCTGCGCATCCACTGCAGGATTGGCTCACATCTACACAGAGAGATGAGCTTGTCCTTGGGGAGGAGGGTGACTTCTGGCTCCTCGTCACTGTGGGAGGGTAAAGGGAGGGGGACAGGTGAGTCCAGAGTGATAGGGCAGGGACCACACAAAGCTGAGGGAGCCAGGCTCAACCAGGTTTGGCTGGGGCTCAGGGACCCTGGGTCCCCCAAGGATAAGCACTGTTCCCTATCTGCCTGTGACTGAAGTTACTGGGTCAGTCACAACGTGGAAGGACAGGTCCATTATCCCGACTCTCAGGAGCCCAAGGCAGGAGGATGACCAAGCCATGCCCAGTCTGGGCTACAGCAAGAGAGCAGGGGGCATGGCTCAGGGGAAGAGGCCCTGTCTAATACGTGCAAAGGCCCTGGGTCCCCAGTATTGCAGCAGAATGGGGTGCTGTAGAGGAAGGTGGTGGCAGGACGCATGAGAAGGGCAAGTCTAGGCAACGTCTCAGGCTGCTTGGACACATGGATGGAAGGTCTGAGGAGATTGGCTTGGGGCTAAATTGGGGAGCATGTGGACTGAGTCTGCCCTGACCTGGGGTTGGTGTATCACCTGGCAGGCAGGGAGGCACGGCCATCACTGGAGGTGGTCTTGCAGTTCCAAAAGGATAACCACAGCTTCTCAATGTACTGAAACTGGAGGTTCATGACGACATCTAGGGTGGCCTAGGAGCAGAACGGCCTGTCAGGGGCTAGGCAGCTGTGGGGTTTTCTGAAGTCCCCAAAGGGGCTAGTGAAGAGAGAATGGGCAGAGGTGGTGCCCAGGGAGAGGGCCTGTGGGGGGACGTGGGCTCTGGGCTCCCATATGATAGTGGTACATGGGAGCCACAGGTGGGGGTGGGTCTGGCCGAGTAGGGCGTCACCTCACAGTGCCTGCGATACACCAGCTGCAAGGCCTTCACATCGTGAGGGGTGATACTCTCTTGCAGCAGCACACTGCCTAGGTCAGGTGCCGGGAACTCTGGGAAGACGTGGGATACATCTGGGAAGAGACAACACATAATACATATTACACATACAGTCTCCAGGGGACACAGGCACAATGGCAATCCTGGTACTGTCGACACTCGGTGACTATGTCAATTGCTTAGGTGTTTATCTGGACAAGCATAGCAATATCAGAGACATCACCTAAGCAGACTGAGGCTGGGGTTGGGTTTGGGCTAGAGTGCTTGTTGAGATGCCTGGGTCCCACCTGCAGTACCTGAGACCTGTCACCCCAGCACTCGGGAGGATCAGGAGAGTATGGTCAGCCTGGCCTATGGGAAGGTCACTAATATGCTCATATTATCAGTTGTTGTTTGAGCACACAATGATCATTCTGGAATCCCAGAGATGTCAGGAAGAAGGTTCATCTAGAAATTTCTACATGACAGAGCAGGTCCCAAGCTCACCTATGTATTGCTGGTGATGCTGGCCCTGAGTGGCCATGGCCTGTTCAGGTGTGCCGTGCAGGTTGCCGTGAGCACCACTATCCCCAAGGTTGTCTGACTTCTGGGCTGGCCGGTACCTGGTCAGGGGACATACATATCACCGTGAGGCCTTGGCAGCACTGTCTAGGATGGGCCCGGGGAGCACAGAGTGTGAGCGGGCATGTGCGTCAGAAGTATTCTTCTTCCCACAGTGACAGGAATCGGACCTGTGGGAAGTGTTCTGCACCCAGACAGACCTCAGCCCAGTAGCAGTGCTGCCGAGCACGAGGCTCAAGTGTCAGGAAGCCCGCACACAGCTATCCCCACCATCCAGCTCCAGAAATAACTGACCCCCCCCACCCCCACTTCATGTCTCTGTGACTCTGCTGGCTCCAGGGACTCCTGTGAGGAGGACCCTGTCCTGTGTCTTGTGTCTGGCTCATGTGACAAAGCATGGTGTCCTTGGTTGCAGACTTCAGAATGTCCTCTATTTTCCTGGCTGAATGGTAGGCAGTGTTGACTTGTGTTGAAGTCACTTATCACATGTGACTTCAGTGCGGGTTTTCCCTCTACAGACTGGTGACCCTTGACAACAGATCCTAGATGTTTCAATACTGTGTGGAGATTCTGACTTTTGATTACTCTGAGTTCTGTCTACTACAGACGCCATGTAGGTGCATAATGGGAATGGGACCCAGGGCCACCCAGGGGAAGCACACAGTGAGCCTCCTACACTCTAATGGGATAGCTGGCTGTGACAGACACCCAAGGGCACTGAGTTGGGGCCTTCTGGGGGAAGGAAAAAGTACCCTGAGGTGCATATGAGCGCCCTGGGGTGTTCCTTGACAAGGCTGAAGGATTCCTCCTGTCTGCTGATTATGGAGGGAACCCATGAGAGGCTGGGGTGTGGTCAGAATGGAGCCCTCCCCTAGAACCCCCCAGTGAGGGGCTGGGGCATGGTCAGGAGTGGGGCCCCTGCCCTAGAATCCTCAGTGAGAAGCTGGGGCCATGGTGAGGGGTGGAGCCCTGCCTAGAATCCTCCAGTGAGGGGGTGAGGATGTGGTTAGGGGTGGACTCCTGCCTAGAATATTAGGGATCCTCAGCATCTCAATAAAGTAAAACAAAGATAATTAGGGTCTGTGGTTCCAATTACATGGTCTTTAGAAAAAAAAAAAAAAATTGGGCCGGGCGTTGGTGGCGCACGCCTTTAATCCCAGCACTCGGGAGGTAGAGGCAGGTGGATCTCTGTGAGTTCGAGGCCAGTCTGGTCTCCAGAGCAAGTTCCAGGATAGGCTCCAAAGCTACACAGAGAAACCCTGTCTCGAAAAAAAGCCATTCAGCTCTTTATTAGAACAATCAGTTGTTTTAGGCAGGCAAAGAAAGTAACACAGCTTTTCAAAGTTAAACAAGACTATGTCTTGAGAATCAAAAAAAAAAAAAAAAAGGAAATACAGCCCCCCCAAAAAAAAACTTAGTGTTTCCAAGACCTGGATGGGAGGGGAGGGAGGCACCTGCAGGGGACAGGGGATAGTTTAGGTAATAAAATCCCTTCATCCAACACCACACACCACTGTGTATCTGTTTAAACACACAGGAGGTTGAGCACAAGACTCATGGAATGTCTTGTCTGTCATGTTTGGGGGACATGTGGCAGCACCCTAAGTCTGGGGCTGCAGGCCTGGCAGCCTGGCTGCTGTCCTGTCACTCACCTGGGCTTCTGGTGTGTGGGCTGCTGTCTCATGGCCATGTACTGTGTGTCTTCCTGCAATCGGTTCAGAGGGGAGTCTGGCTTCAGGCGGATCCCATAGTAATGGTACTTTGAGTTGCCTCTGGAGACCAAACATCACAAGTTAGGCACTGCACGGGGACATTCTACTTAGGCTTGGCTACTCTAGTTTGGTGCCCATGGGGGCATTCCATCTACAGCGGCCTCTGGTGGAGGCATCGCTCACTTTAGTATAATAAAGGCTCACAATGAGAAAGTCAGGCCAACTTTGTCCAGCCTCATGTGCCTACTGATTATGATCATGACTGACAATTCTTCCCTGGTGTCCCTCAAACACCTGTCTCACAGCTGGCCTAGGATGCACTGTAACCCAGGAACCTGTCTACATGTCCTGTGAGCTGGATGACAGATGTACATCACCATGCAAGGCTCTAAAACCCCATCCTGGAAAATGACATATCTTAGGAAGCAACCAAAAGGAGGAGGAGGTGACCCTGCCATGCCCAGGGGATGACACACAGACAGATGAGCCCCATTTGGGAAACTGCACCTCTTTGGCGGAGGTGGCTGTCCTGTCACTGTCTTCCCAATGCCTCCCCCTTCACCTGTTCCCAAGGAGAACCTGCAGTTCCTGGGGCTGAGAATCCCAGGCTAGCGCACAGTGACCTCAACGCCAGTGACTGTCTGGCATGCAGGTGGCCAGCTGTGATGGTGATGCAGGCTGGCTATTGTAGCACTTGGGAGGGTGAGGCAGGAAGATTGAAGGTTTCAAAAAAGAGCTGTGTCTGAGCTCACCAGGCAGAGGTCTCACCAGCACCCAAGGCCCTGGATACCATTCCCAGCACTTCTGTCACCCAGCCAGCATTCAGGATATGGTGACAAGAGGGGAAACAGTCCAACCTCATTACATACACGGTGAGCCTGGGCTACAAGAGACTTTGTCTCAAAAGAAAAAGAAACTACTTGGTGTTCAGGGGAATTTCAAATAGACAGAAAAATGGAGTAAGCCTGGTATGATGGTACGCGCCTTTAATCCCAGCACTCAGGAGTCAGGGATGGGTGGATCTCTTGGAGTTCAAGGCCAGCCTGGGCTACACAATGAGATCATGTCTAAAAATAACCCACCAACAATTTTACAAAATGAGAGTAAAACCAATCTCTTCCTAGTGTCTCCCCACCCCCACTCTGGCATCTGGAAGTCCATGAAGCCTCCACTGTGGGCCTGTGGGCTCTGGTGAGCCCTACGCTGCTATCACCCACCTGGTCCCCAGGCGCCGCGTGCGCAGGCCCATGAACACAGAGCGGATGAGCTTGCCGAAGGAGGCGGCGTTGACAGGCTCCAGCTTGTGGTCCTGGCAGTGTCTCAGGTAGTGGTTGTACAGGGAGCTGCGGGGCAGGCTCACGCCTTCTGCCGTCTCGTAATTATCCAGAAGCCACTGCAGCTGGAGGACAGATGGTCATCAAAGGCCTGGATCCCAAGACAGCGGCTCACTTCCCTCTGCTGGCAAGGGCAGTGACAGAGCCACCTGTGTGGTACTCATGCCTGTCCCCTAAACACATATGTCAATCACTTTCTTCTGTCCATCCGTCCGTCCCTCCGTCCGTCCATTTACCCACCCTCCCACCAATGCATGCACCCATGCATCTGTTCACCCATTGCTTCCGTCCATGTACACGTTGGCCTCTGTGTTCCCTGACTTCTGTTACAAGCCCACATGTGATGGAGACAGATCAGGCTATGTCTCCAGGCTGAAACATATACATAGCATCACATACGCAGGTACACTAAAGTCTCTCAAACCCACGGTACAGTGACAGATCTGATGCAGAAACAGTGGACATGGAGTCTTGTGCTCTAGGCCACAGGTCACTGATGGACTATTGCCCCAACCCCCAAAGCCGAGGGCTCTGGGTAAAACCCAGACACCCAGGGAGGTTCTGGGAGTCAGCAAAAGGTGCAGGCGGAGGCTGTGTACCAAGGCCATAGTTCAGGGAGGTGCGGAGAATCAACTCCCTGCTCCCTGCAGTGGGTGTTGCCACCCTTCTGTCTTGATTCTGCCCCAGAGGCTGGCCATGTGACCTGGCCCAGTGGCTGCACTGTGACTTGGTGTGAGGCTGAGGCCCTCCCTCTGTGTGTGGCTGGTGAATGGCACCCCCTCCCATCCAGCCCCTCCCAGCCTGGACAGCATCTCCCAGGGAAATCACTGTCAGGGAACAGACTGACATATGCATGGTCACATGGCTGGGTCCCTACCGCAGCGGGGAGCGGGTCGAGATCTTCTCTAAACAGGGTGTTTACTCTGGGGCATTACTTCATGGGGTCAGGCAGAGCATCGCTGACATAACCACCTCACACCCATGTTGCTTCCCATTGGCCTCCCTCCTCCCGGGTCCCCTCCTCCCTCATCCTGGGGATACGCTCAATGTAGATCAGAAAGCCAGATCAAAGGGCTGCCCTAGGAACACAGCAGAGGCTCCACACAAAAATGCAGGTGCCACACTTGCAGGGTAGCTGGCTGAGTGGACAGAGGTGGGGTGCCACACTGTGTCTGAAGAGCACAGAAGGCTCAGGCATGTTTTTCTAGCACCATGGGACCAAGAGCTGGCTCTGGAGACGGCAGGCCACAGCTTGGAAGAGGTGGAGGGCTGGCTCTACTTCTGGGTAAACCAGGCAGGCTTCAAGGGGTTGAGTAGGAGTTGGCCCCCAATGCCACTAACTGATCGGGGGCATGTGAATTTCTGAACACCGAGTTAGGGCCTTCCAGCCATCCTGCTGCCCTGCGTACCCAGGCCAGAAACTATACCCAACCCTTTTGCCAAGATCCCACCGTGGATGGTCCTGGCCAGGGTACCAGACCCTCAGCTGTGCTGTGACTCAGGAGCAGCCGTCCCCGCTGTTCATACCATGCAGGTGCTGTGCACCAGGAGTCCCCAGCACCCCAGTCTCTTGTCCTCATTTTCCCAATGGAGTGACTGGTGACAATTTAAACAGGAAGCAAGCTCATGTCCCTGATCCCCCAACTCTGAAGGCTGAGGCAGGAGGACTGGGACTTGGGAGCTCTCTTCCCCATGGGGACAGAGACATCTAACAGTTCGTTGTCACTGTCTCCTTCTGACCGGCTAGGTACAGTGTCCTTTTCTCCCCATCTTGATACAGAACTCAGTCACTTCAGGGTCTTCCACGAGCCTTCCACTACACAGAACCCTGAGGACCCTGGGGCTAGTGTTAGCCAAGTGTTGAGCCTTGAGGTCATTCCACTCCTCGGGACATGTGATCCAGCCCTGTGTGCTGTACAATGCTGCAAGGCCCATTACTACACAAGGATCCAGCAAGAACTTGGCTCTCACACATCAGGGCTATTTGGACCCTTGAACTCCTTACAGCTCTATGAGGCAGGGGCATGGCTATGGTTGTTCATGCTGGTGCCCCAGGACCTTAACGTGACACTTCAGGTCCAATCCTAGAGGAAGTGACACTTGTCCATGGGAGCCTGCAGAGAGGCTGCATGTATCCCTTTCTTTATTACCAGATCTTTCCTGAAGGCTGGAGAGTTTCTGTGTTGTGGGAGAACAGGAGGAAGGGCAGGGTGATGGGAGGGGGGGACGACTCAGGGTCACTGGGTGGGGAGGAGGTCCCGTCTAGTTCTGGGGCTAGGCATATAAGAGTGAGGGTAGGGCTAGCGGGATGGCTCAGCCAGTAAAAGAGCTTATCTCTGGGACCCTCAATGGGGAAGGAAGAGGCGACTTCTACAAATTGTCCTCTGAGCTCTGCATGCACAATGAGGTACTCTGGAGTCCTCCCCAATAAACAAAGAATAATTATTTTAAAAGGGTTAAGATGGCATGGGGTTGGGGTCATGGTGACAATGCTAACTGAGCCCTCAAAGCTACAGTGTTGGGGTGGCCAGAAACACCACCACTCCCACTGCTACAGGGTCCAACAAGGCCGCTGTGCTGGCTGGCTTTTGTCAACTTAACACCAACCTGGACTTATCTGGGAAGAGGGACCCTCACCTGAGAAGCATTTTCTTAATTAGAGATTGATGGGGAGGGTCCAGCCCATGGTGGGTGGTGCCACCCCAGTCCTGGGTTCTATAAGCAAGCAGGCTGAGCTGGAGAGATGGCTCAGAGGTTAAGAGCACTGGCTGCTCTTCCAGAGGACCTGAGTTCAATTTCCTAGCAACCACATGGTGGCTCACAACCATCTATAATGACATATGGTGCCCTCTTCTGGTGTGCAGACATACATGGAGGCAGAATGTTATATACATAATAAATAAGTAAAATCTTTAAAAAAAAAAAAAAAAGATGCATTCCACCACACCCTGCAAGAAGGCAGGCTGAGCAAGCCAGTAAGGAGCACCCTCCATGGCCTGTGCATCAGCTCCTGCCTCCAGGTTCCTGCCCTAACTCCCTGGATGACAGAGAGTGACCCGAGAGTCATACAATAAAACAAACCCTATCCTCCCCAGCTTGTTTCTGGTCATGATCTTTATTACAGCAACAGGGACCTGACTATGGCACTGCTATGGTGGGTCTACGACAGCCACCAATGGCCATGTGCTGAAGGTCTAGCATAGTGTTACTGGGAGCTGGTGGGGCCTTTAAGAGGCAGAGTTGGCCAAGAGGACTTTGGGTGGCAGCTGCTTCTTCCTCTCTATTTTGGCACTTACAGTGAGTGTTTGTGCCACATATTCCTGCCATTGTGTCCTGTGTGGCCTGGTCCCAGATGGCTGTGGGATAGCTTCTAAAACTTTGGGCTAAGCTAACCCTCTTTTCTTTTAAATGGATCCTCCTCGGATGTTTGTTACAGTACAAGAGTGCTGGCCACCGTGAGCACCTCCCATACAGTGCCAGGTCATTTCTGCATCTCAGGTTCAAAACAAAAAGCCACATCTTTCCAATTAATCCATATGACCTATCTGGCCTAGTGATAAGGAAGGGCTGAGGGGCACTTTAGAGATGGTCAGGGTGACAGGGTGGACTTGCAGGAGTTATATAGTCCCAGTGTTGGAGAGGCACAGACTCAGGGGGAGCCTTCCTGGAGCCCCAGGCATCTGGGCCACTCCAGCCCTTGATGGGTGGCTGGATGGGGGAACATTCCCAGAAGATGCTCTAATGACAGCTATGGATAGAGCTGTGACTTCTCCTAGGGGTCCTTCCCTCCACTAAATCTGCCCCAGCTGCCTGCCTCTAAAACAACTGTGGAGATGACCGGGCTGAGGTTTCCAGACGGCAGCATGGGGAGACACATGGCTCTGTTGTGGTGGCCAGGTGACACCCAGAGGCCACCAAGGACACTTGTTGGACAATGTGCCCCAGGTCCCTCTGTCTCTAGTTGGAAGGGACTGGCCTGAAGCTGTGATGCCCTTACCCTCCAGAAAGCCCTACCGAGAGCCATCGTGGCCACAGGCAGCCCCAGGGAGAAAGGCAGGTACCAGCAGCTCTCTCCTCTCCCTCTCTGGCTCTACCTGATTATCAGACAAGACAAGACGCTGCATGTTCTACCTTGGGCACCTTCTAAAAAGACCTCAACTCTACTTCCCTTGCTCTACATCGCCAATGCCCCAAAGGCTACAAGAGTGTTCACCCTGGTGAACACTGACCATGGAGGGAGCAGTCTGGTGTTCATCTGTGGACACAGGTTAGAAAGCAAGCTCTCCGCAGCCCTCAGTGAGCACCCTGTACGGTCCCTGCAAACATTCTCAATGTCCTACAGACACAATAACTGTCCCCATGGATCTCCCCCCCACTCCGGCTGTTGGTGGTCACATTCATTCACCTTCAGCCAGAGCCTGTGGCCAATCCTAGGCTTCCCCTCACACCTGAGTGGTATGTGGCCCTTCCCTTAAAGATGCTAATGGCTCCTCCCTTGAGCTCTGTCCTCCTAGAGAGGTTGGGCCCCAGTGGAAGGAAATGTTCCTGTCATTGACTCCTGAGACAGGACCCTCACTACATGCTGCCTGGGGCGGCGCTAACCTTGTAAGCCCTCAAGGCTTCTAGGCCTTTCTCTAAATCAGCATCTGCCCCTCTCCCCACAGAGTAACAGTCTCCCACAACAGTCCACTGTGAACTGGGACAGCAAGCGGGTTCTGTGGGGATGGGGGTGGGGGTGTCACAGGATCCAGCTGGACAAAAAGCAGGTATTAGAAGCCTCAGGGAAATGCCACCTTTGGGGGCCATGTCAATGGCCACAGCCCAGTCTGGCTTTGGTGATGGGTCTTAGTTTTGGAAAGCCCAACCCAGTCAGGTGTGGTGGTGGACTCCTGTCATCCCAGATCTCAGGAGTCTGGGACAGGAGGATTGTTAAGTTCAAAGCCAGACTCAGACAACATGGTGAACCCCAGGCCAGCCTGGGCTACATGGAAACTGTCTCAATAAACTAACAAGAATAAGTAAATCAAATCCCCAACATTCAGGCCTGTGATCCCAGAATGTGGGCAATGGGGACAGGAGGATGTGGAGTTTGGGCCAGCTTGGGCTATCCAGCAAGGCCCTGCTTCCGAGGAAATAAGTAACAAGACATGGAGGTGTCCACACATTGGACAGGAGGCATTTGGGATGTTAGTGTAGATAGGGCATTCCTTCTGATCTCCCCAGGGCCCACACTAAGCCCTCCCCTTTTCCAGGCCCCGCGGCCTCATCTCCCACAGAACAAAGCCAAGAGTGTCTGCCACATGCCGCCTGTCTCACATTAAATCACACAGCGAAGGGCCTTCATGGCAACCCAGTCAGTCCCAAACCACCTTCCCCTTTAAAAAGTTGTATTTTTGTGTCATTATTTTATTTTTATCATCACTATTTTGAGATTTATTTTATTTTATGTGTGCAGGTGTTTGTCTCCATGTAAGTCTGTGAGCCATGGGCATGCAGTGCCCGCTGAGGCCAGAAGAGGGCGTGAGATGCCCTGCAAACGGAGGTAGATGCCTGTGAGCCTCAGATGGGTGCTGGGAACTGTACCCGGGTCCTCTGCTCGCCTTAAATTTGCTGTGCTGTGGAGGGTGACGTTGACCCCTGGTCCTCCTGCCTCAGTCTCTTGCATGCTGGTGATGTGAGGTGTGAGCCACCACACCTGTTTTGTGATATTAGGAATGGATCCCAGGGCCTCGTGCTTGGTCCCCAAGCTCACCCCAGCCCATCTTTTCTGTTTTGAGACAGAGTCTTGTTATGCAGCACAGGCTGGCCGAAGATCCACCACCCTCCTGTCTGGGTTGATAGGTGTGACCGCACCAGCTACCTCTGCCTCTGTTCTTGTTTATCTTAGAACTGGTTCTTCTTAAGATCTCACCAGTCTACACATCGAGAGACAACTCAACCCCAAGAACAAGCCTGGGACACAGGTATCATCCTCAGGTCTAAGGCCCATGCAGGCTCTGCCTTGGCCTCTTCCTCACTGGCTAAGGCTTCTCCTGGGAATGTTGGCTAGCATTTTCCCTCTCCCTTTAACCTCTTCAAGGCTGCATTATGTCACTTCCCTGGGCTTTTCTAACATCTGTGGGCACTCCAGACATAGCAGGGTGTCCAGGGCCCCAGCGCACTTACATGGCTGTTGAGCAGGCCGCCTTTGTGGGGGGCGAGGCCTTCGCTTTTTTGGAGAGTCTCAATCGCCATTTCAAGCTACGAAGATGTGTACAGAGACAGGACAAAACCAAAGAGGTGGTGGGGGTGGGGTGGGGAGAGAAGGAAATCAGATGGTTAGCTGCAGGCAGCTCATACCAGTCCCAGCCTTGAATTAACATCTAAATAAGGGTGCCAGCTAGCGGCAGGGGGTTAAATGGTGAGTGAAACTGTGGCAGGTTCAAGGCCCTGAGCCATGCACCTGAGCCCAGAGCCCAAGACAGTAGCAGAGAGAAAAGTCTGGTGGCCAGCATCACATCCCAACACGGGACACAAGGCACCAAGAATGAAGCCGGGCATGTACAGGTCGAGGTCAACAGCAGGAGAACTTTTCAGTCAGTCTCCTTACTCACTTGTGCTGGTTTTTATGTATGTAGGTGTTTTGTCTGCATGTCTGTCTCTCAGTGCACCAAGTATGTGCCCAGTGCCTGCAGAGGCCAAAAGAGGGTGTCAGATCCCTTGCAATTGAAGTTACAGATGGCTGTGAGCCACTATGAGGGTTCTGGGACCTGAACCTGGGTCCTCTGCAAGGCCAGTCAGTGCTTTTAGCCACTGAGCCATCTCTCCACCTTATTTTTTGACACAGGGTCTCTCACTGACTGGCTAGCAAGCTCCTAGGATGCTCCTCAGCACTGGGGTCACAGGCAGGCCCAACCATGTCCAGCTTCTCATGTGATGGCTGAAGGGGTCAGACACAACACCCACTAAGCCCTCTCCCCAGGCCCTGGGACAGTAGGTGACTCTGAGTCGTGGGCCATGGGGTGCTGCCACAGTGCACACCTCTGCCTGATGAAGACTTGGGAGTTAGAGGACAGAGCAAGGGACGGGATGGACACAGCCTGGGAAAGTGAGTGGGCACAGAGTGGGCTTTCAGGGGAACTGTGACCTGGGCTGGGGACCTGGGTGGAGTGGAGGAGGGAAGACTTGCAGTTATGGTGCCTAGCTGTGGCAGTGGCCACCTTCTGACTATGCTGAACATGACCTGGCCCTGCAGTGGGAGCTAACATCAGTCAGAACAGCAGAGACTTCGGCTGGGTTTCAGGTAAGGGCAAGCAGAGTATCTCACTCACCAGGCTCCCTGGAACCATGTTCAGCATAGAGGGCTGAGGGCTAAGTGGGTAAAGATGCTTGCCGCCAAGCCTGAAGACCCGGTTCAATCCCTAGAACTCCCATGGAAGGAGAAACTTCACTCTCACAAGCTGTCCTCTGATCTTCAAAGTGTGCCATGGCACATGCGCACACATGCACAATAAATATGGTGTGATAAGAAAAGCAAAGGAATCACAGGGCCTCTGTGATCTCCCTACAGTAACGCCTAGGTGAGCCAGGACATGCACAGAGGATACCACAAGGCATGGGCAGCCAGAGGTCAGGGTCACCTCTGCTCCTGTCAGCAATGGGCACAGGTGGGCAAAAAGATAGAAGCACGCCAGAGGCAGGGGGAGGCACAGAGAGCCTGATGGGCAGCAGAGGTGGCAGGGTGGCTGTGTGAGTGTCAGCTGAATGGACTAGCAGGCAGCTTCTTCACACTTCTGGAACCTTCCATGAGGGACCCAGACAGCCCCTGGCTCTGTGGAAGAGGAGCCCTTCAAGACAGCATGTCCACATGCAGGAAGTGGATTGTGAGGGACAGCCAGTTTGAACCCTGAGCTGAATGACCCTGTCACACTATGAAAAACTGCTGAGGCTCCCAGTTAAAGAGAGCTGGGGGGTGGGGGGTTTGCAGTTGGCTCACCTACTTGTGGGAGCTAAGGCCAGAGGCTAGGACTCTTTCTGGTTGCTTTCTGACTTATTTTTTGAGACAGGACCTCCCTACAAAACTGCTGACTCTGCTGGGCTTGTGAGCCAGCCTCAGAGACCCTTGCGTTCCTGCTGGGGTGACAAGTGCACACCTCCGTGTCTCGCTTTATAGGGCCCCAGGATTGAACTCAGGTACCCATGCTTACTCAGTAGGCACCTTATGTACTGAGCCACTCCCCAGGCCCATGTCTGTCTGTCTATCTGTCTGTCTTTTAAATTTTGAGACAGAGTCTCAGTATGCAGTCCCAGCTGGTCTAGAACTCACAGAGCTCCTCCTGCCTCTGCCTTCTGAGTGCTAGTATTAGTAGCTATCTTTTCTAGTTATCAAAAAACTAGAAGACTTGAATGTCTACATCTGTGTACATCTTCCATCTCAGGTTTTAGAGGGTGGCGAGGACTCTGCTCTGCATCCCTGCCTGCTCTCCCAGTTTAAAGGGACTGTATTGAAAGAAACCCGTCCTCACAAAAATAAACATCTGGGCAAGGAGGGCCTCTTCCTTATCCCGCCTCAACATGAGTCACTATTTGACACCACACTCAGACTCCAGGACTGGCAGGTTTTTAAAATTTAGCTGCAACATAAAATCCTGATGCCACATCTGTGGGCTCCCCACACACAGTCAACATCAGGAGCGAGGGCGAGATCAGGACCATCCACCCTCCCAGGAAAGTGGCAGATACACGGGCAGAACTCATGAGAATCATCTCAACTCTCTGCAAGTAACAGAGAGTATGCAGCAATTGGTTGCACCCTTCATCAAACAAAAATGATGACAGCAGCAAGAAAAACCCACACGTCTGATATGGCACCTGGGGGCCAGTCCGTCAACACCAGTTGGCTCTTGGCTAGCCAAAAGATTGCAGTGTTCACCATGACAATGAATACAGACTTCACAGTGACCCAGAAAGGCCATCAAACAAATGACCAATGATAACCACCATAACAGGAAGGTAGAACACACACATAGTAATGCTGAAGAACCTTTTGTACAGAAAACTATGAGGCACCCAAATAAGGAAGAATGAGTCTGTCCACAGACAGAGTCAACAGCGCTGTCCCAAGGGCCTAGGACAATAGAGTGGGTTTATGACTTAAGTCAACTTTATGTGCTCAAAGAGCTAAAAAGAACCTTATACAAAGAGCAGAAGGACCCACAAGGATGGGCCCATCAAACAGAGACACCCACCAATGGTGTAAGAGCAAAGAACGGAGACCAACTTGAAATCTGAAGATACAATGTCTGACAACACCCCAGACTTGATGAAAGACATGAATCCACACATTCAAAATTTCCTCCATTTCAGACTGTAAATGATACTAATAACAGCAACAATAGTAACAGCACTCAGGAGGCAGAGACAGGCAGATCTCTGTGAGTTTGAGGCCAGGCTGGTTTACAGAGAGAGTGCCAGGAGAGGCTCCAAAGTTACAGAGAAACCCTGTCTCAGAAAAGAAAACAAAAACAAACAAAAATACACCAAACCACAATAATAACAAAAGACTTGAAAGATAAAAAAAGAAACAAGGAAACAAAAAGAATTACTAGCCTTAAATATACCTTCTACCCCTTTAAAGTATGTATTTTTAGGTATCAGTGTATGTGTGTAGATGTGTGCAGTCACATGAGTGTGGTTCCCACAGAGGCCAGAAGAGGGCATTGGGTCCCTAGCAGTTGGAGTTAGGCGGTTGTGAGTCACCTGACCTGGGTGTGGGAACTGAACCCAGTCCTCTGCAAGCGCTCTAACCACTCACCGTCGTTCTCTCCAGCTCCTAAACTTTCCATCTTTAGAATTAATGTTTATCTCTTTATGAAATAAAGAACATTCATTTTCAACAACAAAGATCTCCACCAAGCCAAGTGGCACAAAGACACACCAAGGACAATCATGTGACTTCCCCTGTTCTCTTCATGTGTAAGCGTCTCCCCTTGTATACAGGTTACATGTGTGTGGGTAGATGCAAGCGGGAGGCCTAACACGTGTTGGGAATCACTCTCCATCACTCTTCTGCCTTGTTCACTGAGGCAGGGTCGGTCTCTCAGTTAAAACCAGAGCTTGCTGATATGGTTAAACCCGACAGCAGCTGGCTCTAGGCATCCTGTCTCTTCCATCTCTGATGCTGTAATGAAGGGTGGGCCCCATGCCCATCCACCCATGTGGCATTTACATGGGTTCTGGGGATCCAAATTCAAGTCCTCATGTTTGCACATTAACCACTTTACCCACAGAGCTGTCCTTGGGGGGAGGGGTCTGTGCCATGACAGCAGCATGTGAAACAGGCTGCCTAAGCTGATGACATATATGGAAATGCTCTCGGCTGTGAATACTATACAGCAAGTGCCCCAGCTCATCCTCTGAGTGACAAGGAGGTCTTGTGGTGTCACATGCTGCCAGGCTCAGGTGCTGGTGGCCAGGTAAATGCAGACAAGAATAGCAAGCACAGCCCTGGCACCTCACAGCGCTCAGGAAGCAAGTGGCCTGATGTCACACCTGTCCTCAGAACTGGGTGCTGGGGTCACTGTGGACATAAGAAGAGAGAATATGTGGAGCCGGTATGAATGTTTGAACATGTGCATGGTATGCACATTTGAACACACACGTGTGTGTGTGTGGGGTGTATATATACACGCATGTGGAGGCCAAGGTCCAATGTTTTAGGTTGCTCTTCCACTGTATTCAATGAGGCAGGCTCTCTCAATCAAACCCAGAGCTCACAGATACAGCTCATGCCTAGGGAGCTTGCTCTAGGGACCTTGGAATTACAGGTGTGCCTCCCCAGCACACATATGCAGTATGGGGATTCAAACTCAGGTTCTCATGCTTGCACATTTTAGCACTGAGCCGACTCCCAAGGCCTTCAATTTAAATGTATCTGATGGAACACAAAGCTTTCTCCAGAATCAGGAGCAGGATGACACCAGCCTGGCTGAGCCGTAAGCAGACTGCTCAAGTAATGTTCAACCACAGGACAAGCACCCTGTGTTCCCAGCTAGAAAATACAAATTACCACTATAGAGAGACTCCATGACTCTCCTACCAGGATGGAGAAAATTAAAAAAAAAATGTTGACAGCTCCAAGTGCCGACAAGGAAGCAATACCTATTCCCTGACAGGTGGTTAAACGTATCGCTGGGAAATGGGGACCGGATAGGTGGCGGCGTATGAAGTGGACCTCACAGCAACCCCACTTGGAGGTGTTTACCATCCCCACCCCTAGAAGGGGAGACAGCACACTGACTGCTCAGCCTGAGCAGTCCTGAGTTCTTCATGGTGCTCCCAGCTGGGGAGGCCTCCTCCAGCTGGGGACACAAGGAACTGTGGACTCAAGTCAGGGGGTCTTGAGGGCCACATGCTGAGGGCAGGAAGCCAGCCCCAGGGACAGCCACTGACTTCACTTCTGATAGCCCACCAGTGTCCAACCACAATGATAGAGAACAGATCCATAGCTGCCAGCATTGCAGGCGAGGGTTTTTTGGGGGGCTCTGTGTACCATGAGAATTCAGGGACTGACACACATGGAGTCCTACAGGGTTCTGCATCAAAGAGTGGCGTGAGTGTGGCAATGTTAAAAGGATAAAATAACAATAAGCATTACTGCTGGAATTCGGGAGGCTGGGGCAGAGGACTGTGGGGTTGAGGCCAGCCTACACTACAGGAGAAGTTCCAGACCAGCCTGGGCTACATAGCAACACCCCTCCCCCCATAAGACCCCAAAGTCAAACCAGAACTATATGAAAGGCAGGTGAGCAGTGAACTGTATCAGGAGACTGTCCCACAGAGGCGCATACTCTTTTGTTGGGGCAGGCTCCTGGGAGGCTGCCAAACTGAAAACAGTAATGACCAGGACAGCAGTGGTGCTGCCAGCAGAGGCTCTGCTCCCCAACACTCCCAAGGCCCTTGTCTTTCCCAGAGAGCAGACGCTGCCTGCTGTCTTTGTCCCTCCTACTCCCCTCCCCTCCTGGTGGATGCCAAGGCTAGCAGGGCTACCCGCGACTGCAGGGCCTCTGTACATACCGTGGCAGGTGAGGAGCGCGCAGTGTGGGCCAGGGAGTGTCTTGTGCTGTCCATGCCCCCATGGATGAGGTAGGCTCCTGCGCCAGACACGATGGGGGTCCCCGAGACATCCATGGTGATGCCCACCATGCCGTGGGAAGGGACTGCTGGTGGGGACGAGGCTGCCACTGTCACTTGAGCGCCACCCGGAGTCTCAAAGTAAGATGCTGCACTGCTGGGGGCATAGAGCTGAGGGTCTGGGTTGTAGGCATAGGCTGCTCGGCTGTGGGACAGAAAGTGCCATCATTTTATAACAAATACATGCTAATAACAGAGCGAAAGGAAGAAAGAAGACACAGAGCTGCACTTGCAGAGGACCCAGGTTTGGTTCCAGCACCCACTTGGCTCACAGCCACCCACAGCCACCCGTCACCCCAGCACCAATGGATCTGACGCCCCCTGCTGGTCTCGATGGGCACTGCACTCACGCGCACCAAAACAGGAACATGCACAGACCCCCCCCCATGTGTATGTATACTGACTAAACACAAATGTACACACAAACAAGAAGAAAGAAAATTCTAGAAAATTCCAGAACTTTTTTAATAATTGGAAAATAAGCTGTGTAAATGGCCCAGAAGGAAAGTTCCCAGGCTATCGCTCTCCAGGGAACTGTGGCTTTGGTTTGGTATTTTTATCGAGTTTTCTAGAAGCCAAAAGCACAAAGGCCTGTGGTTCTGAATTCGGACCTCAGGACAAGGAGAGACATGACAGGTGGGGGGTGGGCACTGGACACGTGTCCAAATGCTTCCCCATGCGTCCCACAGAGAGCAATGGAGTCCAGAGTCTGTGGGGTATGGGGCACGTACATGGCTCCGTTGGCGTAGACCGCGTCCCCGCCCTCCACGTACTGCACTTGCGCTGGGTACACATGCTGCACCTGTAACGACACAGGGTGCGAGTCACACGGGGTGAGCCTCGCGGGGGGCTGCAGCTGGAGCCCACACCACAGACATGAGCTCACTGATTAATGTATGGACCTAACTATCCATGTATTTATTTCTGAGGCAGCCTCATGTAGCCCAGGTTGGCCCTGAACTATGTAGCTGAGGGTGACCTTGAATTCCTGACCCTCCACCTTCAAGTGCGTGCTGTGCCTGGTTTAGGTAGCAGCTAAGCAGCTTCTGTACTGTGTGGGTGGGACCAGGGACACTGCGGCTGCCATGGAGAAAAACCACCTGTTTCAGATATGGCAGAGGCTCCCTTGCTGGGTTGGGGAGATAGGGAAGGTGGGACCAGGGCTGGACACAGAGGAAAGCTGGAAAGGGGTTGAAGGGGGACACCAGTCCCTGTGATACTACACCTCTCCCCAATCCTACCCCCACGCCCCAATCCTACCCCCACGC